AAATAATTTAATAGTGTGTGACTTTTTTTTAATTAAATTATTTGGATTAGGTCTTATTTTCTTTTATTAATTTGTTATAGTTTTTCATTTGAATTTAGCTCCATTTTTGTGTCTGTCTTTTTTTTTCTTCTCATAAATAGGCTGATGCTGTATTTGTGTACTCAATTGTTGCTTTTTTTTTATTAAATTATTTGGATTAGGTCTTATTTTCTTTTATTAATTTGTTATAGTTTTTCATTTGAATTTAGCTCCATTTTTGTGTCTGTCTTTTTTTTTCATCTCATAAATAGGCTGATGCTGTATTTGTGTACTCAATTGTTGCTTTTTGTGTCTGGTTTCTTTTTTGCAGTATTTTTTTTGAATCCTTTTTTTTTCATCAATTGTTTCCTCACATGCTTGGAATTTTCTTTTTATGCCTGTCCTGGCTTTCAGTTTTATAGATTTCCTCTGCTTGGTTCTTATTTTACCTTTTTTTTTTTGAGCGTCTTCTGTCATGCCTCGGAAAGGCCGTGGAAGACTCACTCCCCTGACCGCTAGGCTATTTCTCTTGTTTACTTTTTTACCAATGCCTATAATTTTTCACCTGAAAGATTTTTTTTTATTTGTTATTCAATAAACTATTATCACTTATTTTTGGTCTTCTTTTTATTTACTTATTTTACTGGGGGTTGGTGGAAGGATGGTCTAAGCCGTTGGTTTTCGACCGCTACGACCCGGGTTCGATTCCCGCATTGGGCACTTTTTTCTGAAAAATAAAAAAAAAGCTCCAATGGCTTCTGATTCTTGCAAAAGTCCAACCCCACCAGCAAGCGCAAGTAATCAAACGGGGCTCTGGCACACTTGTACATGCAAAGTCGAACTGCTTTTCATACGTGTACCATTTTCAAAGACCCTGCTTAGGATTAAAACTTCTCAGAAGCATAACAATAGTACCAACCTAGAGGTTAACTGGTGTGGATGCATTCCTCTGGGAGTAAGACTATTGAGAAATTCAGTAGGGAGTTATTTTGCTTCTCCGCATTCTAACACTCCAACTGTTAACACTGTGGAAACACTGACTCATGTTTGGTAAGCAATTTCAGGGAAGAAACTATAGACATTGGATTAAATAAATTATTAATTAAATTGCATTAAATAAAAATTATTAGATTTAAATAAATATTATTCGAGTGAAAAAAAAAAGAAAAAATTAACAAATTAGAAAATAAAATTTCGAAAAATACAACTATATTGCAGATAAGATAAGAGGACCTTATTAAAAAAGAAATAAACAAACTGTAATTCGACACTATCGATAATTCGACACTTTCGATAATTCGACACTTTCGCTAATTCGACCATTTTAAAAATCAAATTTACAAGGTTGATTGTTGTTTAAATACAACTTTGATTTTGCATGCATAAACACAGGCTCTTGTAGCAAGAACCCAACTTTAGTGAAAACTGATGCCTCTTCAGAATGAATGGAAGACTGAAATCTGAAGGAGCAGAAGATATGGGTCATCTTTACATGTATGCTATCCAATGTTCGCACACTTGAAAAAGCTACATATAAAGTTGTCCGTGCGTAAACACAGGCTCTTGTAGCCAAGGTTTGGCCTTGAGCCTTATTTATAGTCATAGCAAAAGCCAACCTTAGTGAAAACTAACGCCTCTCTAGAATGAAGCGAAGGTTGGTATCCGAAGGGGCCAAAGATATTTCAGACACTATACAGTGTGTTCAACTTTGGGCACTGTCAGTATATGTGCTTCAAGGACATGAGAGCACATGCGCTGAAACACCATACGTGTTCCATCGCAAAGATCCTAAAGGCATTGGTGAAAGTATAAATAAATATTTTGGAAATGAAAAAAAAATACATATATATAAGAAAATAAATTGGAATAAAAATTTACAAACTATATTTCAGAGTGGATACATATTTGAAAGGAAAAAAAAAAAAGAAAATTGCAAACAACAAAACTATATTACAGATATGACATGAAAACTAACGCCTCTCTAGAATGAAGCGAAGGTTGGTATCCGAAGGGGCCAAAGATATTTCAGACACTATACAGTGTGTTCAACTTTGGGCACTGTCAGTATATGTGCTTCAAGGACATGAGAGCACATGCGCTGAAACACCATACGCGTTCCATCGCAAAGATCCTAAAGGCATTGGTGAAAGTATAAATGACCCATATATTCTGCTCCTTCAGATTTCAGTCTTCCATTCATTCTGAAGAGGCATCAGTTTTCACTAAAGTTTGCTTTTGCTATGACTATGAATAATATTTGGGTTCTTGCTACAAGAGCCTGTGTTTATGCATGCAAAAGCAAAGTTGTATTTAAACAACAATCAACCTTGTAAATTTGATTTTTAAAATGGTCGAATTATCGAAAGTGTCGAATTATCGAAAGTGTCGAATTATCGAGTGTCGAATTACAGTTTGTTTATGTATTTTTAATAAGGTCCTCTTATCTTATCTGCAATATAGTTGTATTTTTCGAAATTTTATTTTCTAATTTGTTAATTTCTTTCTTTTTTTTTCACTCTAATAATATTTATTTAAATCTAATAATTTTTATTTAATGCAATTTAATTAATAATTTATTTAATCCAATGTCTATAGTTTCTTCCCTGAAATTGCTTACCAAACATGAGTCAGTGTTTCCACAGTGTTAACAGTTGGAGTGTTAGAATGCGGAGAAGCAAAATAACTCCCTACTGAATTTCTCAATAGTCTCACTCCCAGAGGAATGCATCCACACCAGTTAACCTCTAGGTTGGTACTATTGTTATGCTTCTGAGAAGTTTTAATCCTAAGCAGGGTCTTTGAAAATGGTATACGTATGGTGATACAGTGCATGTGCTCTCATGTCCTTAAAGTAGTGTAGTTCTGTTGTTTGCAATTTCATTTTCTGATTTGTTAAAATTTTTCTTCTATAGTTTCTCACCTGCGGGTCCTTCGGGTAAACCCGGGGCGTTGCCCGGGTCACTCGGCTAGTATATATATAATATAATATATATAATATAACGGTATAATAACGGTATAAAGAAATAATGAGCCTATCGTTCAAATTTATAATTGTAACGAATAGTATTTTAATTAAAACATTTTAAAAACACACAGTTTGGAACGGGACGTTTCACAAGAGTGACATCCATGGCGCCAATTTATAATTGTAACGAATAGTATTTGAATTAAAACATTTTAAAAATATATACGCACTCGGGTAAAACCCGGGCGTTGCCCGGGCCATTCGTCTAGTATGTAAATAAGATTGTTTTTTTATATCAATACTTTCTTAAGCTTTTTTCCCCAAGAAATCCCTAAATACTTTCGTCCAAATTTTTATAATACTCAATTTTTTACAAACCACGGAAATTTTAAAAGTTTTTTTAAATAGAATAAAGGCAGTGGAGGATTCAAGTTGCTTTTGTGGTATTGAGGAACAAACCTCAAGACATCTACTGATCGATTGCCCAGCATTTCAAGATTATAGAATGAAGAATGAACTAGTTGTTTGTGAACTTAACGATTTGATTTCCGATAAAAATCATATTTAAAGTTCAATTCATTTTGTAAATACATTCTAAACTTTCTATAAAATCTGGATCTCTAATGTTTTCATGCGTTGAATAATGTAAATAACTTATGTGAATAAACTTTTCTCCTTGTTTGGCGCAAGTATCCCTTGCGGGATATAGCGCTTTGGAAATAAAATAATTGTAATTGTAATATCAAAATAAATTATCAAAATATAATGAGAGACGATTGAAGAGAGTGTCTTATAAGAATTTTATTCGCAAGCTTTCAGAGAGATGTCCTTCTACAGGCTTACACTGATCTATTGTAATCTATAGGGTCATTGTAAAGCCTGTAGAAGGACGCATGCATCCGAAAGCTTGCGAATAAAATTCGTATAAGAAACTCCTCTTCAATTGTCATTTTGCTATTTTTATTCGAAGAGATCAATTTTGTCAAACTAAATTGTCATCCTTACGTTTGTTCTGCGTGACAATATTCTGCTCGTGAAAGAGTGATAGCCAGAAAGTTCGAAAGTATTTTAAAAAATAAATTAATTGTGAACGTTTTTTTTTTTAAATCTTCTTTGTAATATGGAAATTTTCTGATATATTAAACAAGAGATCTTGTTTAGTGGGGTCGGTGTAAGGCTGGTTAAACCGTTTGGTTTTCGACCACTACGACCCGGGTTCGATTCCCGCATTGGACACTTTTTTCTGTTAAAAAAAATTCTCCAATGGCTCCTGATTCTTGCAAAAGTCCAACCCTCTACCAGCGAGTGGAAGTAACCAAACGGGGCTCTGGCACATTTGTAAATGCAAAGTCGAACTGCTTTTCACATGTGTAGACATGTGGTGGGCTTACAGTAAAAGCAGTCGCTAACTACCCACCATGATTATCATGGCCTGTACCACGTGTACTAGGGATAAGCAAGAAAAAAAAAAAAGATCTTGTTCCAAAATCACTTTATTAGGTATCGCTCAACAAGAGCAATCTAGTTTATGATAATTACAACAATGTATAATATGTGAAGTTTATTTGCATATTAAACATAATGTTAACACGGGATTCAATCCCGGTTCATGACTATCGGGAATCGAGGGTGTTACCCACTTGTCCTTTCAAGTAGAAATGTTGAAGATAGAGTTCATATGTTTAATAATAGAGCGTATCTTTTGCATTTAACGGGAAATTAGTATTTTCATCAATAAAAATTTGACCAAGAGTCCATACTTGAACAACAATACAGAGGCGTGCGTATGATTCGTAAATTGCTTTTAAAAAGAGAAAGATCCAGATTCTCGAAATATCTCGCGTTTACTTTGGGATAAAAATGCTTTTTTATTCGATCAAACACTAAATATATTGTACAATATAATATAATGCGGCCCATGATTGTAAAACGACATTTGAAATACTATCCCGCATGTGTTTCTTTTCAACGAAAAATCAAAATTTATTTAAAGGAGAAATAACGATTATTTCTAACCTTTTGGATTTTAGCCTAGTGGACATGGCATCTGCCCGGTAAGCGGAACACTGTGGGTTCGATTCCCATCCCTGAACACTTTTATTTTTCCGTTTATCATTACTCTTCACAATTCATCCTTTCATACCTCATCCAAAAGGTTAGAAATAGTCGTTATTCCTCCTTGAAATAAATTTTGATTTTTCGTTGAAAAGAAACACATGCGGGATAGTATTTCAAATGTTGTTTTACTAAATATATTATGTTTATCATTAAGTAGAAATGTTCTCTAAAATCTCAAAAATGTAAACAAAGACTGACCTACTTTGGACATATTGGGAGATCAAATGGTTCAGAAAAGAAGTTGATGTTGGGAAGATGTAAAGGAAGAGACCTGCAATAAGCTGGATAGAAGGGATCAAGATGAGAAGGACCTAGAAAGTAACTAGATGAACTGCGAGTAATGGTCATTAACAGATCAAATTGAACATATTTGTCCATATAGTTACCAAAAGTAGACTTTATGGACGCTAAAAAACAAGAAGTAAACATGTTACCACTATTGGGGTCGAATTCAAACATTCTTATCTGGAAAAGAAAGACACTTTCCATTTTCTACTAGACCTTTTCTCAGTAGAACACTAATGTTGAAAGCCAGTGTTGTATTTTTTTATTTTTGTATTTTGATTTGTTTATGTATGTTATATTTAAAAATATTAGATTAATTTAATATTGCTAATTATCTATTAGCTATAAGCTTATGTCCATAGTTTTCTTGAAAACCATTTCTGAGATTTCACCCTTCAGTGCTGCGTATATAAGCAGAATCGTCCAATACAGTATTAGAGCTCTGAGAAGCGGTCTGGTGGATTAAATTGGCGAAACCGCAGGGAGGGTTCACCACTGATGAGCCAAGCCCTCCCAATATATTGTTTCATCGCAATAAGGACAGTAAAAGTTTGTATTATGTATAAAAGAAACATTCGTGCTTTTAGATCCTTTCATTTTATATGTATAGATGGCGCGTTATTGCTTTGTGTTAATTATATATATTTTTAAATTTGCTTGCGGATGTAAATTTAGAATTTCGTTGATTTGCATAGAAATGTTCTTTTTATTTCTTACTAGCCGAATGCCCCGGGCAACGCCCGGGTTTTACCCGATTAAATGCTTTTATTCAAATACTATTCGTTACAATTATAAATTGGCTCCGTGGATGTCATTCTTGTATAATATATAAATGAGTTTAAAAAAAAAAAATGCATCGGCCGAGAATCGAACACGGGCCGGCCGCGTGGCAGGCGAGCATTCTACCACTGAACCACCGATGGTTATAAAAAATAGCCATATTTGGGTATTTATTTCATTCACAAAAGCAAACGGTGACAGAATTGAGTAAGAAAGAATTGATTATGACGCTGATAACTGTATATTTCAATTTAATCGGTGTAGATAGTTTTAGTTGAGAATTTAAAGTCATGTAGTTCAGTCGCTCTGTGGTTGTTGCTAAGTTTTGATATAGGCTTCCTTCTTGAGCAACACGTGAACACAACCTCTGGAAAGTTGAGTGCGTATTGCATTGATCTACGCGGTCGCAAAGACTAAAAAAAAAAGGAATTTTTTTCTTTATTGTGAAAAACAAGAATAAAAAGAGTTCTGTGTGGTATGTGAATAAGAAGGTGGATGGTCTATGCAAATCAGGAAGGAGAATGACGCTCATAGAATGAGGCGGCCATGTTTGTAGAAGAAAGAGGCCCTCACACAACTGTTCCAGTGGCAGAACTAGCATCACTTCCTGTACGTGCTTGGATTTCTAATGAACTTCCGGGTTGTTTGGCTTCAATATGTTCTATACTGATGTCTGTCATCACTGAATGTAGTTGCTAACTCTGATAGAGCTTCTAATTTATATCAAATTTATCTCACACAGCTGTGCCTTGCTAGAATTACTTGTTATTACAAGGTACGATTAAAAAGTAATCGAACTTTTAAAAAATATATATGTTATATAATAACAAATGAAATTTTCTGCTTGAATTTAGATCATGTTGAGGATTATGGTAATGCAGTCGTGGCAAAAATATTTAAAAGAGTTTTGATTAGTGATTTCTTTGAGCTTAAGGACTATATAAAAAAAAAACATAATTTGGTACTGCCTGGCTTAAGGCGTAAGAATAAAAAAAATGAATAAATTATTTACATAATGTACAAAAGGTTTGAACCGGCCATCGGGAAAGAACAACAACGAGTTTTTATAGGGGAAGCATGTCCTCTGGCGGTCGATTTAACAGAGTATTTGGATCTATGAAATATAATTTTTTTTTAAATAGAATAATATTTTAATATAATATATATAAATGTTAACTCATTTTATTCATCAAAAATTTCAAAATAGGACCCTCCATTATCAATACCTTTTATCTAGCGCGCGCGGTCAAAAAGATGTTTAAAAACTGTTTCATAGTCCATTTTTCTGAGCTTGTTTATTTCAGCCGTCGCATTTTCAATAACCTCTTTAGATGACGAAAAGCGTCTATTTTTTTAACGCTAGTTTAAGCTTAGGAAAATAAAAAAAAATCACAAGAGGAGAGAGGTCTGGGGAATAAGGGGGATTTAATAAAACAGTCACACACTGAGTGCATAACTAAATAAACAATAATCAAGTTGGCTCTATGGGCAGGAGCGTTGTCATGAAGCAACTTCCATTGTTGTGACTGAAAGAGATGGTTCTTTTTCCTTCGTATTGAATGCCTAAGACGCACAATTATTTCTTTGTATGTGTTTTTATTGATAGAATTTCATTCTAGAATAAACTCATAATGTAAAACTCCTTGATAGTCAAAAAATAATAAGCATCACGTTTTCCCCTTTGATCGGTCAAGACGAACTTTTTACTTTCTTAGTGTGTCATTCAAGTGATTGTTACTTTGTTTGTGGATCATAGAGATAACACCAAGTTTCATCTCCAGCTATCATTGATGTTTTAACTTCGGTTATTAATTACACTTTCAATTAAACCACTACAATTTTATAATCTGTTCTGTTTTTTGTTGTTATGCGGTTAGATGTCGTGGAATAAGGTAACAACAAAGTTCTTCATGTTTAAATGCTCATGAATAATGCTTTGGCAGTTACCATATGGAATTCCAACTATTTACGCCATCGTTTCAATAGTTATTTTTTCTATCAGAATAAATACAAATTACTAACCTGCTGGATGCTGTGCTCACTCATCTAAATAGAGGGACGTCCTGACCTCGGATCATCCTCGATATTCTAACAGCCATATTTAAATCTACTGTACCAGAAAGGTAATCGAGTTTTTGAAATGTTTTCATATCCATACGCTTCCTTCAACAATTTTAATGCTTCTTAGTAAAAGATTTATTTAATTTAAAACAAAGTTTTATGTTAGTTCTTTATCTAAAAGCGCCGACATTATAAAATCCAACGCGAGTGATAAAACAAAGAACCTTTAGAGTAGAAGGTAGTGTAAACATGTGATATACCTAGCTAGGTAGATAGATAGGTAGATGGTACTTACTTGCAGAGATAGGTGGAGTCGGACCGGGTGAAGTCTGATCGCGGTCTGTTCATCTGGTCATTGAGGTTCTTCTCACAGCGGCGCAGAGAGTCGTAGTTGCACCGCCGCTGGGCCCAGCCTGGGGACATCGTAGGGTTGGTTAGACTGCTTGGTGGATTTCTTGGAGGGATGGTGGGATTTTTGGAAGGGTGTAAGGATTCTTGTAGGGGTGGGATTCTTAGAGGAGTGTAGGGATTCTTGGAGGGGTGGGATTCTTAGAAGAGTGTAGGGATTCTAGGAGGGTATGTATAGGGATTCTTCGAGGGTAGGAAATTTTGGAGAGGTGGGATTCTTGGAAGGATAGGGATTCTTGGAGATATAGAGATTCTCGGAGAAGTGTAGGGATTCTTCGAGTGCAGGGACTTTTGGAGAGGTAGGGATTCTTGGAGTGATAGGGATTCTTGGAGAGATATATTCTTGGAGGAATAGGGATTCTTGCAGGGTATGTATAGGGATTCTTCAGGGTAGGGACTTTTGGAGAGGTAGGGATTCTTGGAGGGATAGGGATTCTTGGAGATATAGAGATCTTTGGAGAAGTGTAGGGATTCTTGGAGAGTGTGTGTAGGGTTTCATGGAAGGGTAGGGATTCTTGGATATTTTTGTGAGAAATGGGGATTTTATTGGTAACATAAATTCGTGGAGTGTAAGAATATATATATAGGGTATATATTTATATAGATGGCATTCTTGGTGGGATTGACCTTTTGGGGAAAAGGTATTCTTAGAGGAGTGGGGAGTATAGGAAGGATGGGATTCTTGGTGAGATGGAATTCTTTAAGGAATGATATTATTAGGAAGTTACATTTTGGATTGATACTGATTCATGTAAAGAGATGGAACAAAATGGACAATTTTCTTTTATATTTTTAGTTAGAATTTAAAGAGATATTAACTTAGTGGTTTGACTCGGATATTGGAACGTAAATGGTATATTGGCCGCAAACATTCTTGTTTGAAAAATATTTTAGAAGAGCAAAAATTCTTTATACATACATTTATATGAAAAAATGAAAGAAAAAATAAAAGATAAAAAGGTCAGGTGTTGATATTAAAAATAAAAATGGCATATCCTGACCAAGAGCGCATGTGCTTTACAGAAGGCAGAGCGCCATCTGGTGGAACAGAAATCAACTAAACATTGATTTAGCCTGTTTCCTGATATTTGGTCCACCTAATTTCTTTGATTTTTCTTGATTTATCAAGAAATTGGGTTAGCCAAATATCAGGGAACAGACTAAATCAATGTTTAGTTGATTTCTGTTCCACCAGATGGCGCTCTGTCTTCTGTAAAGCACATGTGCTCCTGGTCAGGATATGCCATTTTCATTTTTGATACATTTATATATCTAAATAAATATTTTATTCATTATTCATATATATTCGACGGGTATAAAAGCTTGTTTCTCTCTTAATTAAAATATAAGAAAATAATATATAGATAACAAATCACACAACATTTCTCAATTTCGAAGAATTGTAAAATGTTCTAACTATTTGCATAATATCTAAATGAGCA